TCTTTAAGTGTGCAACTGCAATTGAAAAACTTCTGTGAATGTATTGTGGCCCTGAAATATCTCATACTGGTAGATAGTGTTTGTAACTGAAGAGTGAGAAATCAGATTGAATGGGTGTCAAAGTAAGCACTGTTTAAATTGATATAGCTACCATGCCTTAGATCAATTACTTTGGAGTGGGTTATAGTGTCCGTTTTGAACATATTTTAGAATAAATTTAGTTTCCTAAGGTCCAATAAGGGCTGGAGTACATAAATATATTGGGCTTCATGATGTAAGGTGAGTAAAGACATCTAGTTTGCAGTTTGGGTGGATATGTTTGCCCTCCTTTCCGTTCTCTCTGGTGCCATATGCCATTGGGTATATTTGTTTCTCTAATAAGGATGCTGCGATTTGCCGACTTTGACTTTGAGGTCTTCAAAAATGTTGTCTCATAACTATCAAAAGTATTAGTGCCCTCCAAGGTTACTACAGATAGTACAGTTCTCAGTTAAGTTAACAATACCATGGAGTTCAGTAGTGCCACATATGCTTAGCTGTTGCATGTCTAATGCATGTACCATCACTTGCTGCAATATACTAGCATGCCTGTGTCTAATTTTGAATTTGTGCATTTTAATATTATGTCAAGAAATATGGAAAAAGGGCTTAGCTAAGTCTAGTAAATGTTTGAAGTTGTACATGGCCCAATTAATAATCGTAGTGGTAACATGATGTGAGAGTCTTAACTACCAACTTGTGAACATAACCTGCAACCGAGGTTGTCTATCTTTTTGGATTTCTATTTGGGTACCTCATGGTTAGTGACTTCCATTATTGACTTTGAACTTGGAGAATTTGCCTATGATGTGATGATGGTCATAAACCTAGGTACGATCTAGCAGGTTTATTCTGGAATGGCATTTGGTTTTTTGTGGACAGTTCATACCATTTAGGGAGGTATGTATGAGTAATCACTAAGAAACTTTAAGTTGCACCTGGTTATGCATTTAATGGAATGGTGTTACACGTGTGCTACAAGCATCCATAAAAGATGTTATCAAGTCTTGGTGTTGCTTAGACATTTTAAGCCTTATAACTTTAAAGCTTTTAACAAAGTAGTCCAACAATAGTTCACAATGCAAATAAATAGCAGGTAGAGTTTGGGCATTTTAAGAACTATGATTGAAAAGAAATTTTGTAATGACTTTTAAAGGCAGAGTATGTTGTGCGTGAATTCCAAGAGCAGGACCAGTTCTTCTGAAGGCTAAAATACCCAGTAACAGGATCAAGAGATGGAGGAGCATATAATGACTTAAACACTGGAATCAAATGGATTAAATATTTGAAGGTTGTAGAGATGGAGAACCGTAGGGAGTTCAAGTTTCATAAAGGCTATTGAGGGCATTTTGGGTTTAAAAAAAAAATGAGGACCTTGCTTTTTGTTCAGTTGGGTCAACTTCAGAGATTTTTAAAAATGGTGGATTCTGAGGTTCCCATCTTCATTCCAATTTCTGGTGTGGGATAAGGATTTGGACAACTTGCCTGCACACTGCGTCCATAAACTGGTGGGTTCCACGAAAGGGGTAAGCATCTTGGGCATCATGTACACCCCCACAATTTTAGTGGAGACTAGCCAGTTTCTACAGGATACAAGGTTTATGGCTCATGAACCACATTCTGGATTCAGGAACCTATTGATGTGCAGGCGTAAAAAAGTCTTACTCTACCCCCTCACATGCTGTATGTCTTCTTACATACTCATATGCTAAGTCACCTCACCGCCCCCAGCCCAATGCTCTGTGCCCTATCACATAGTATGAATTAAGTACTGAAGAAATAGCCATATAACATTAGTGACAAATGCTTAAAATACACATTGAAAAGAAAAATATCTGGGGGTGGGGTGTTGCTTTTATTATCCTATAAAAGTCAGTCACAGCCATTCATCTGTATCAGTAACAGAAGCTTTCCTCTGTGTCATACTGCTTATTCTTGTCTAAATAAGCCCATATACTGAAACATCATATATTAAAGGAATAAGAATTTATCATGAAGATGTCAGTCAGCAAAGCTAAGTTCTCATTTTAAATTGTGCAAATAGACCGCTGATGAGCTGATTATACTAATGGTCTTTGGAACTCAGCTAAGCATTCATGACAAGGCCATCTGGCAACTGTATTAATAAAAACACGTGACCAGACCTCTCATTCTTGATGTGGCCTCATAATTCTCAAAAGAATTATTTATACTTTTCTGGAATGGTTAAGTATTTTTAAAGGATTATCCAAGACTTACATCCTTGCGAATCAATAATGTGTGTGACATTTTTACCTTGACCTCCACCACTTCTCTTGAGTCCACCATTGTTGTTAAATTATCAGACTGCTTATCTTATATCCAGCACTGGAGTGAACAGAAATTTAAAGTATCATGAAGAATGAAGTCACTGTTTTTGGCCCCACTGCAAACCCTGTTCCTTGGCTACCAACTAAATTTCTCTCCTGGCAACATTCTGAGATTCAGTTTGTTCACAATCTTGGTTTTGTGTTTAACCCTGAGATGACCTCCCAATCACACGTTTGCACCATTATTAAGGCACCCATTTCCACCTCTATAACATAATGTGATTTTGCTCCTGTCTTATCTCACCTGGTTGTGAAACCATCAATATATATATTAGCTTTGAATTTGATTATTCCAACACACCCAAGGCTGGTCTCCCACATTCTGTCCTGTGTAGACTTGCGTTCATTCAAACTCTGCTGTCTGTGTAACAGTTCAGACTAGGATTCGTTTACCAATGGTCCCTTTGCTCACTGCCCTACATTTTTTTAAAAACAATTAGTCATGGAAAATTAGTGTCACTGGCTAGAGCAGCACTTATTGCCATTCCAAAGTTGCAATAGAGGAAGTGATGGTGAGCTGCCTTCTTGAGCTGCTGCAGTTCTTGGGATGTAGGGATGTTCACTGCTGTTAGGAAGGGAGTGCCAGGAATTTGACCTTTTGAGAGTGAAGGAACGGTAATTCAAAGTCATGTCAAGTAGTGTCTTGATTTTTATAAGTCTCACTCTTGTTTCTAAATATCCCTATATCTCTTCCGTATCGCTATAATTTCCAGCTCCAGTGTCCTTTTGAGATATCTGCTTTTATCTGATTCTACCTCTTGAACATCCCGGAATTGAATCTTTCCGCCATTTGTGGCCACCCCCTTCAGTTTCCTCAGCACCAAAGCTTTTGGAATTCCCTACCTAAACTACTCTATCTCTCCATCTTTCTTTTCTCCTTCAAATTGCTCCTCACAATTTGTGCATGACGAAGCTTTTTAACATCTGACCTAATGCTGCCTCATGTGGCTTCGTGTCGTATTTTGCTTTATGATATTCCTGTGAAGTGTCTTGGCATTTTATTATGTTAAAGTTCTCTATAAAATAAGTTATAAGTTATGTGATATTATGACAGTAAACTAGCTGTGCTGCCAAGTTACTTCCTTATTTAAGCTGCTGCAGTTCATCCAAAATTAAGCTCCAGGGACTAGAAGTAAATGAGGTTAATACTAGTTTACTAGATTCTATATTTGCAAGTTTTTTTTCAATACTTCTCAAAGAATTGCCTTTTTCATCCAAGAGTAGATCTGTTCTCGGGCATTAATTAGGGGATTCTATCACTGCAAATTAAGAGATTTATGCATAATGCCCAAGGTGGGTGTGTTTCTCTCTTTCTTCTCGCTCTGTGGGAAGTGGGAAGTTGTTGGCCTCCCCTATTCATTGCAACGTGCCTAAGACCACAGTAATACACATTATTTAAGAATTCATCACTGCAATTTGAAATGTTCTGAGCTATGCTGATTAAGATACTACCTAATAACTAGGATCTCAATGAAAAATTAGCATATAATATTGTTGTCTAATTCTGATGTAGAATTCTGTGATTTAGTTTTTCTCATTTGTAATCTCTTTCCAGTAGGGGCAGTACATAGGAAATGGGAGGATTTTACTTCATTGTACAAGAGCAGCCAAGGTACTAATGAATCAAAAGAGACTTCAAGTGGAAAACAGAAAGAAGGTTTTGATTTTTCAGTGATGTCGTACAATATTCTGGCGCAGGATTTGTTGGAAGACAATAGTCACTTGTATAAACATTGCAGTCAGCCCTTGTTGCAATGGGGATTCCGATTTCCCAACATCCTTAAGGAACTGAAACAATTGGATGCAGATGTAAGTAGTTCAATTAAATGCATTCTATACATCTTCCCAAAGGTTTAGTGTACATGAATTCCATGCTAATATCCCTTACAAACCAGGAAATTCCCAAAGCTGATATCTACTCAGTCAACAGGAAGGAGGGAAACTAATTTGCCTCAATTTCCTGAACCTAAGGAAGAATCAGTCAAGATTCTTGCTCATTTCTAATCACTCATCCAGACTGAAAAGGTGCAAAAATGTAGCCATTAGGTAAGGACAGGGTTGATTTCAATTTTGAGTGTCCCCAAGATGATGCAGGATATTGGAATTTTTACTTAATAAAAAAGTTACTCAGGTAAGCAAAGGACAGTCGTGCTTGTGAACTTGCCTGTATATCTGAACAAAAGTAACTGACTAAAGGAGAAAACAAATAAAGAAAGAAAAAAAATTGTTTGTGAGTGGGATAAGTGGAAAGAGACACTTGCATATGTTCAGTAGAGTGCATTGCACTATTGACTGAGGGAATATTATTTTAATCAACCTGCTCAGACATATTATACACACCTCTGGAAGAGGTAGAACTTGAACCTGGCCCTCAGGACCTGAATATAATAAAATAATGAACTCCGGGTGCCGAAAATGTGAAACAAAAGCAGCAATTGCTGGAGAAGCTCACCAGTCTGATCGTGCCTGTCGACAGCAAACAAAATTAGCATTTCAAGTCTAGTGACCCTCCTTCAGAACTGGCCTGAAGGTAGGGACACTGTCATTTGTACCACAAGAGCCCTGAATGGTAGAATTATGCTCCTTCACATTTATTGACTTGTTATTCTTAAACTTGAATGTTAATTTAGGGAAGAAGGCAGATGCAAGTCAATCTGTTACTTGTTCCAGTATTATAGCTTGACGGGGAAACAGTTTAATGACTTAATGAGGACAGAACAATGGAAATTGAGGCCAAGATTACATCAGCCATGAAGGGTCATATGGCCTGTTCCTCCCCTATATTTTATATTATTATTACAGCTTCTTTTTCGCAATTGGAAAATAAATGCTTAAAATATTAGGCAAAATGGGTATTTTGTGACAAAAAACAGAAATTGCTGAAGAAACTTAGCAGATCTGGCAGAATCTGTGGGTAGAAAGCAAAGTTAAAATTTTGAGTGCAGTGACCCTTTTTCCGAACTGACTTGAAGGTCACTGCACCACAAGAACCCTGATTGGCAGTATTATCCCCATTCACATTCATTATTCCTATTCTTAAACTTTAATATTCCTTAAGAGAATGAGAGCAGATGCAAATCAAGCGGTTACTTGTGCCAGTAGAATAGAATGTTCTGAGTTCTGATGAAGGGTCACTGGACTCCAAGCATTAACTCTGCTTTCTGTCCACAGATGCTGCCAGACCTGCTGAGTTTCTCCAGCAATTTGTATTTTTGTTTCAGATCTCAGCATCTACTCTTCTTTGTTTTATTTTTGTGTATTTTGCAAATTGTTTTCTAGGCGCAAGACGCATGCCAGTTTAAAAGTGAGAGGAACAAGCCAGCAATTAGATCAATACTTTAAAAGTTCATTGTTCAATGCCTTGTATTTTCTCACAGAGAAGAAACAAATCAAGTAGTAGAAGTATGTAACCAATCTTTCATTATTTCAGTTTATGTAAAGGCAAAGGGATATATCAGTACTTTGGGTACAGACTCTTTTATCAGAACTGGAAACTAAATAAATTAAATCCTTTTTTTGTAAAGACCATAATAGTATAGGGGACTCGTGTATGCCAACTAAGAGTGATAGAATGATACATTACAAAACGAGGCGAATTGGTTGTCGCATCTGCACTAATGCTTTGAAAGAGCTATTCAGTTAGTCCACTTCCCTGCTCTTTTTCCATACAAATTTTTCAGCTTTAAAAAGTTGATCTGATTTGCTTTTATAATGTATTGTTGAATCTGTTTTTACCATCCTTTCAGGCTTGCAATCCAATTCATAAATTCTTTCCTTTTATCTTCTTGCTGCCCGTGGTCTTTTTGCTTGTTACCTTACACCTGTGCCCTCTAGCTGCTGATCCTTCTACCACTGGAAATAATTTCAACTTATTTACTGTGTTCAAACTCTTTCCTAATTTCAAACAGCTGTATCAAGTCTTAACCTTCTTCTAGGATATCTTCACGTAATTGAAGTCTTTCATCCCTTGTACCAATCTAGTCAATCTCCTATGCTCCTTCTCTAAGACTTGACGTAATTTCTGAATTATGGTGCCCAGAATTTGATACTTTGAGGGGCATTTTAATGTGGTAATGTGCTGCTGTACGACTGAGTGCAAAGGGGACCCGTATGAGATTATAATGCATCTATCAGTGGGTTTTCAACCTAGCCACTGAATTTACTTTTGATTTCCAGGTTTCCCAAAGGACACTTAATGGATGGGAACAAAGGATTGTCATTGTGGAGTCAAAACATGCAAGTCTTTGCCCCACTTTAGATCTCTCTCTAGACCTGATGCCTACGGGAGCAGAAAACCCTGCTAATGAGGGTATGAAGACGTATCTGGACTTTGATAGGAAATATGCAATTTTAAGCATAGCCCAGCACGTCACTTCTCACACTAACTTACCTGCAAGTTATGTCTCCCTCTTTGTACACTTCCGCATGTCACTATCAATGCATCCACCACAGGCACTCGCCCTCCCCTTAATATCACTTCTCTCCCTGATAGTCCTGTTCATCAGATGTTCGCCATCTGTCCATTCAATACATGCCATTACTCTCTCTCATAGTTTCCTTGTTCCCTCCTTTCAGAAAAAGAGAGCATAGAACAAACCAGGTAGAGAATTAGTGTTGTGCCTCCAGCAACCCTGATACTGTTGTAGAGGAGGAGAGACTGGAGATTAGCAGTTTTGACAGTTCCTGGCCTGTCTGATAATCAGAGATGGTAACCTCCCAGCTATTTGATGATGAAATTAAGTAACAGCCACGTGGCGTACAATGCTCACCTATGATCTCTCTCATTCAACAACAGAAATTGCTGGAGAATCTCAGGAGGTCTGACAATATCTGCAGGGAGAAAACAGAGTTAATGTTTCAAGTCAGGTGACTTTTCATCGGAACAGATCTTGTCAAAACTCCTGAAGTGCAGCTTCAGCATACCATTTGTTAGCTCATGTCTTGTCATATCGAACTTCTGCTTGTGTTGCAATGGAAACAGAAACTTTGGCCAACAAGCCAAACAAAAAGGTTACAAATCCTGATCAAAGCCCTGAGCCAAATGGTGTTGGAATCCTCCATGTTTCTTGACAGTGATTCCTGCTTTTTAACAAACCTGGCAATGCACCAAAAATCTGTGTACGTACCCTTTCAGCATTCTCCTGTAGGCCACCTGCCTGTACAGCTACCCACTAGACTATATACTATGTCAGTTAAGAGTGAATGACAGTATTTCTTCATCCTCGACTTTCTTTCCCTCTTCTAATTCCTACTCTTGCATGATTGCCTGGTCAGCTTATAACTCTTGGGTATCTAAAAGGAGAAAGGCTTAAAGGCAGCGTTTTGATGAAGCAGGTAGGTTGGGACAAAAGCAGGGGATACATGATTACTGTAGTTGCAGCTATTCAATTAAATTAAATTAAATGTGGGATCCCAGGTGACCTGGATTGAATGGGACTTTTCTAGTTCCATTTGGGCTGTTCACAATACTAGCTGGAAATCACCAACTTTCCAAACCCAGTGTAAATGAAAATCATTGACATGAGTCCTGACAAATATATACCTTTGTACCCAAGAACAATGAGCTCCACTGGTTAAATCTCTGTGACCTTTCTGAGAATATTCAAGGATGCAGTAGTCATCACCAGAATGTGATCTTTGTTGGAGTGCAGTTTCCAAGATAGGAAGTAGTGCACACTTCTTTTTAAATGTCATAGCACCCTGAGCTTGCGTTCCACCTGACTGATTCCTTCACATCCAAGTGTGTTTCACACAATGCTGGTCACTGATTCTGAATTGGGAGGCCTTCAAAAGCTATACAATGCAGTAGTCAGGCCACTGTTGAAAAACTGTGAACAGATTTAGGTCCCATATCCATGGAAAGATATACTGGCATTGCAGGCAGTTCAAAGAAGTTTCACTAGGCTGATTCCATGCATGGAGGACTATCTTATGAGGAGAGGGTTAAAAGTTTGAGCCTTACTGAGTTTAGAAGAATGAGAGTCAACTTTATGGAAACACTCAAGATTCTCGGATGACTTGACATGGTAGCTGCAGAAAGATTGTTTCCTCCTGTGGAAGAGTCCATCTGGGACCAGAGAGCATAACCTCAGCATACGGGGTCGCACGTTTAAGGTAGAGATGAGAAGGAATTTCTTCTCCCAGAGCGTGGTGAATCTGTGGGCTTCTTTACTGCAGAATGCTGGGTGTCTAGTTCATTAAGTATATTCAAGGCTGAGATGGACTTTTTTTTTAATCAGTAAGGGAATCAAAGGTTATAGGGAAAAGGCTGAAAAGTTGAGGATTGTCAGATCAGCCAGTATCTGATTGAATGGTGGAGCTGACTTGATGGGCCGAAAGGTCTACTTTTGCTCCTTTGTCTTATGATCTTATTTAGCATCAATTGTGGCATTATTGCTTAGGTTCCTCACAGATGCTACATACTATATTTGTAGTGGTTAGTTCTCGTTTGCAAGAAGCCAGATGCTATATGTTTTCTGTGGTTTAAAGAACTCTGAGAAAGTAAACTGACACAGGACAAGTGCATCATGGCCACTCCCTGGGAGTTTGCACACTTGTGTAAACATGTTTTTGTGGTTGCATCCCAGCTGTAAAATTTTGAACTGGAAATCCTTATACTTAATGAACACTCCTGAGTAATCTGAAATGTCTTGATTACCACACGCAGGCAGAAAAGGAGACCAGACTACCTTCTCAATTGACTAGCATTGTAACTTTCAGTTTAGAGAATTGCCAGCCCTGGCCAACATGGCAACTGTCACCTGTGTAATGCATTTGTAAGCAGCTGACTGTGAAATCCAACAATTCCT